GACACCAGGAAGAGGATTGCAACGATAGAAGCAAATGCAGCTAGGATGACCGCAATACGGCCGTTGCGGACGTTGCGGGACAGGGAGCTGGATGAGCCACCGTCCAGGTCAATACGTGATGGTTCCCTTCTCGATGCTGAGGAGGAAGATAACAACTCAAGCGCAGCACCGTCACTATACTGGGTGGTTAGTGCCCAGGAGTTCGACATGGATTGTCAGCTTGGCTCTAGTCCCAACCACAGCTGTATTGGCGTTAGATGTTCTACGTAGGTGTTAGCCCGTCAAAGATAGATAACTGATCTTATGCCCCTCCAGAAGGTATATGCACCGGACGTCCTTCAAATAGCGCAAGGGCAAGTAGCTCCGAAAATGCGCTCTTCCTAATTCCAGTTAACTGCTGGAAAAAGGTGGCGAGACACAAGGAGACATAGGGGACCATGCCACCTAACAAGCGGTATAAAGTTGCCTGATGTTCCAAACTCCAAATGAATCTAAGGTCACTGTTTTTGTTGTCTGGAGTCCTCAAGGGTTCATTTACAATGGCACATTTCATCCATTCGTCCCNAGGTCACTGTTTTTGTTGTCTGGAGTCCTCAAGGGTTCATTTACAATGGCACATTTCATCCATTCGTCCCAGGAGACAGCATTGTTTGGGGCTGGGTTAATGAAACCCCCCAGAACGGGCCCCAAATGTAATTCCACCGGGGTTCAACATGGGAACGCAGAGTTTGCCGGAGGCTTTGCCGAGTTAAACATATATTTTCTGATGAAATGACTTAGGTCACTAATTCTCTGGTAGTGAGCTAACGTCCTTTGCTAAACTTCACGTACTCTAGGAGAACTCCCCAGTGGCCGACCTTCGCTTCGACCATAGTTGTAGCGTGGTCTGCCTGTATTTAGCACAGGTGCATTCACTTGGTCTTGGAAAGTTGCCTGCACGCAAGTACTAACGCTCTATAAGGATATACAGAGGTAAATCATGCATTAAAAGAAGCTTGGCTGACGTTCCCCTGTGCTCATACGTGAGGCTTGCATCGACAACGCCTGCTCTCTGACTGCTCTCTGATCTGAATCAAGAACAGAAGCGAGCTGCAGCAATTGCATATACATGAGGTAAGAACTTCACAAAGCAACTAACATCCTTCCCCACGTCGCACAGGTTTCTTGGGCAGTGAGCTCGGCCGATGGGTCGCGGGGCGGATGCAGCCTGAGTGGAATTGCTGTAGTGCAAATGGACTACAATGGAGCTCAAGTGGAGCCTTCAGAGAGCTCGTCGGCNTGAGTGGAATTGCTGTAGTGCAAATGGACTACAATGGAGCTCAAGTGGAGCCTTCAGAGAGCTCGTCGGCTGTAAGACAACGAATGTAATACTTATAGGGACAAGTTGTATTGGTTTATACGTAAGGTTAAGATCAGCCAAACCAACAATGATCAACCTGATCTTAGGGTTGGCAGAATGATGCTGCAGTTGAAGACTCTGACTCACTGCAGACTCAGAGGGAGATGCATTATTCTCGGACTTCCTTTTTAAGATTATGGGGCCCGAATACGTTTTGAGGGTAAGTTCCTGAATAAGGCCATAGTAGGAGAGATTTGTTGTTTATATCGATGTAGAGTGGGCACCTAGATAGGTAGACGTAGGGTAGATACGTAGTAACCATAGAGTCCGCTGCTCACTACATTTAGGGGCCGTTCCGGTAAATTATTGCCTGAGACTTCTCTTTTCCATGTTGGGTGAGCTCAATGCGGTGCATTGAAAGTGCAGCAGGTCGCCTGCCCGCTGGTAGCTATTTGTTATTTAGACAATCTGGGAACTCTTCCTTCAATTGTGTCCTCTCCTGCTGTTCGCCGCGCGCTAGCCGTAGGAAACCCTCATGCATACATTTGGGGTATTCAATTCAGTTGTTACGACGGCGTGCACCTATCTCACAGCAATTAACTGCAGCCGGGCAGGAGCGTCATCGCTTGTCTTTCCTTATGGCTCCGTTTCCACTCCCCTTAACGTAGGCGATGCAAATGCCGTTGGGTCCACTGGGATATGCCTCATCCCATTGTTTCCCTGCGGACAGCGCCAGTATGCCGTCTTCTGGGGGCCATCTCTCCGCCATCCATTGGGTCAGCCAAGGCATGCCTAAGAATATGTAGTTGTGAATTGCTCCAAGGCCCCGCATCACTGCGAAAAGAATCATTTCTGAATTATGTTCGCAGTTTAGGCTCACCCTTTTGCTACTATTGTCTCCTGTCTGACACCCGCGAAGCGAAGTCCCAACGACCGTGCCAACGAATGGACAGTTAGGTTGCACCTCATTGCGATGGTCTCCGATATCAGGCCCGCTCTGCATCCAGTAGCAAGTAGC